GAAGAGCTAAAGATGAAGTGCTGGTTTCTGGTCACTAGGCTAGGTGGGGACAGAGCTGGGGCTGAAAGGCTTTCTGGGCCAAGCTCTGTCCACTACACCACAGCATTCTCCTGACTCAATAAATATTAACTGTTAAAGAAGATTGCTTAATTCAAACTATATTTTATTCTAGTTAGCTAGATGAGTAATCCCCAGTGATGAATTCCTTTTTTTGAAAGTCCAAAGTCCTTAGTTCATCAGTTTTTCTGTCATTTGTCAGGTCAACAAGGTTAGGACAGACAATATTTGCAACTTTCCCCAAATTCAAAATCAGAAAAGCTGCAGAGTGAGTTTTGCTTTTTTTTTTTTCAACTTAAAAAAGTCAAGTAGTGGGGAAGGATATAGCTCAAGGGGTGGAGCGCATGCTTAGCGTGCACGAGGTCTTGGGTTCAATCCCTAGTACCTCCTCTAAAAACAAATAAATAAACCTAATTACCTGCCCCCCCCAAAAAAGATTAAAAAAAAGTCAAGTGAATAATATGCTAAACTATCTTATCCTAAAAACCATGAGCCTATGAGGACATTTAGCATCTGTGTCTGAGCAGCTTGTCTTTCAATTACAGATACCTGTATGAAACGTTTGGTTGTGTTTGTAGAAAAGATTAATTAAGCATGTTTCCACTCTTTCAAAATATTAATATATTCATTATTGTTGAAGTAGCTTGTTACTTTTTATGGCAGTTTTACACACACATAATAAGAAAAAAAATTTATCCGCACAGAGGAGTATACAGTGAATATAATCTCCATACCAGGACGCAGTATGGACGCTCTTCAGAAACAAGCTCTGTTAACAGCTACTGTTGCTCCATCATGTCGCAGTTGCTATTTTAATTTAAAATTATATGCTTACAGCTCTATTTCTCAATTTTTCAGCTTTAGAAAGTATCTCCTGACTTCCGCCTAGGAAAGATGAGCAATTTCTCGTGTTCATATATCCTCGCAATTTCTTGTGTTTATAGATCCTCGCAATTTCTTGTGTTTATAGATCCTCACAACTTCCCTGTATCCTTCCACCACCTAATTTGTGTTAGTTATATTATTTATAATATAGTTATGTTATAGTTCTAATTTTTCTAACAATTATGTTTTAAATTAGTCTTTGTAACTTTAAATAATATACCTAAATTTCTACTTCTGGATTTCTTTATTAAGACAAACTTAAAAATAAAGATAGGCTTTTTTTTTTAAGTATTTGCATTTCTTTTTTTTATGATTTCTTTGTTTTAGGGATAATTAGATTTATTCATTCCGTTTTTTTAATTTAAATGGAGGTACTGGGAATTGAACATAGAACTTCGTGCATGCTCAGCACACACTCTACCACTGAGCTATACCCTCCTCTGCTAAGATAGGCTTTTTTTTAAATTGAAATATAGTCAGTTACAATGTATCAATTTCTGGTGTACAGTACAATGTCCCAGTCATATATATATATATATATATATATATATTTGTTTTCATATTCTTTTTCATTAAAGGTTATTATAAGATATTAAATATAGTTCCCTGTACTATACAGAATAAATTTCTTTTAAATCTATTTTTATATATAGTGTAAGATAGACTTTTGATTTCCAGTTATATAAGAGTGTCCATCTGTCAATACACCTCTCATGTATAGATATATCTGTATCTATATATCTATAAGTGCATGATCAAAGTTCAATATATTTACATTTTGCTCTGTAATTATAACTAAAAGTCTTCTGAAGAGTAAAAGAGCCAGTCCGTATAAAGCATTCAGCATGGTGCCAGGAACCTAGGTCCTCTATAACTATCAGCTGAGTAGTTGGATGATCCTCCTTTGAGAAGGAAATGTAAACTTATTTATGAAACATTTGCAGCTTAAATGAGATTCTTTTAAGCTGGAAGAACAAATAGATCCTCCCTCCCTCCTTCCTTTACTCCTTTTCTTGATTTCACTTCCTCTGGCTCCTACTCAGAAAGCATTGCTTCTTGTTTTCTCTCATGGGCTGCGATTTGTTAGATTGGTTCTTTGACGTTTGTTTGTTTTGCCTTGTTTTATTTTGTGTAGGAAGTAAGCTTTTGAATTCTTGAATGTCTAAAAATAGGCAACTGGCTCCCTGGCTGTAACAAGTTCCCCTTAGAAGTGCCAGGTCCAGACTGGTTCAAGATTGAACTCCACAGGGAATGAGATTTATTCCAAGGTTTATTAAATTTTTGGTTGTCACTCCCCCTCCTACTTCTGCTTAGGTCTTTTGCACCGAAAGAGTGGACCAAAGGGCAAAGATCTTAATCATGCAAGACTCGGACCCAAGACCTGGAACTCAGGATTTCCAATTAAACTTCCAATTTAGTGTTCATTCCCCAAACTGAGGCAGAACGGTGCCCTGTTTCAGCAGGAAGTAGTCAGAGCACTCATCACCCCACTCCCTCAAAGATTTGGTGAAAATTAAAACAGGAGTGGGGACAGAAACGGAGCTCCCCAAAAAAAAAAAAAAAGGAAAAGAAACAGAGTTCTCCTGCTGAGTTTATGATTAACTTCTCCATACAAAACTTTATTCTCTTTCTTGTCCTGCTCTGTTCTTCTCATGATTGAAGAGTATCAAAAAAAAGGTGGGGGTGGGGGAGAATGAAACCAAGTAGGACCCTGAAGGGCCCTCCCTGATACATAAGCCTCTCTGTGTCCCCGTTTCTTATTTGTAGAAAAAGGCGTTTCTCTCCTAGGCCTTTCCCCAAGTTCCAAAGAGCAGACTCAAGCGGTTACTAATTAGACACGTGAGGATGCAGAAACAAAAGAAAAGCAGTCAAGCAAGAGATGTACTGACAGCTTAAAGAGTTCAGCAATAAAACAGTCACAGGGCTCCTCATGTCTCCTCAAGGGGTACACACAACAATCTGATGCTTGTCTTTAAGTTGTTCTGCAGAAAAGAAGTCAGCCCCCCCACCCCCACCCCGCTAACCTGGTGGAGGATGGTGACGGCTAGCTGACCACAAGCACAGGCTCCTGACGGGTTGGAACCAGAAGGTTGATGATTCAGATTCCTCGGGAAACATCACTCTGCTACCGCAGCACCAACTAATCAGAAGAACGCCCATGAGCCGACCACATTTCCTGTGACCTCCCGCCCCCGCCCCATCTCTAATGTTGCTTTTAAAACCTCTTGCCTGAAAGCCGTCAGGGAGTTTGGGTCTTCCAAGCAAGACCTGCCAGTTCCCCTTGCTTGGTGCCCTGCAATACATGCTGTAAAATGGTCTTTTTTTAGCCCTCACATTTGATGGACAGTTTGGCCAGCTTTCGAAGTCTAAGTTTCATTTATCCCCTTAGAACTTTGAAGACATTTTGACAATAGAATGCAAGATTCACAAGGGTAGGATTTTGGTCTGTTTGATTCTCTGACATATTCCAAGGACCTAAAATAGTGTCTAGCACACAGTGTACACTCAATAAACATATTTGTTTTATTAGTGACTTGCCTTCTGGTACTAGTATTGCTGAAAAGAAGTTGCATGATAGTCAGATTATCATCCTTTTTCACTACTCCCCTCTTTGAAAGCTTTTAGGGTTTTCTTTCTGTTCTTACGTGTTCTAAAATTTCACCAAGGTGTCTAGATGTGCTTTTGTTTGCTTGTTTTTCCTGCTCTATAATTGATGGGCTTTGTTAATCCAAAAACTCTTTAGTGTAGGAGATCTGTTTCATTATTTTCTTGACTATTTCTTTTTCTCCATAGTCCCTATACAATCTAGAATCACATTTAGATAAATATTAGATTTCATAGTACTAAATTCCACGTGTTTTAATTTTTTTCTCATGTTCTTTGTCATTTTATTTCCTTATCTCCCAGGTAACCAACTTGATCTTTTAGTATGGCTATATTATTATTTAGAAATTCCATTGAAATTTTTAACTGTAGTTTCCAAGAACTCTTTCACGTTCTCTGATTGTTACTTTCCATCACAAACCGTAATTGTCCTATGAATGCAATAGATTATAAATTCCTCTGATGATGCTAATTAGCATTTTATTGCTTTTATTGGAATTGTTTTAAATATTAATTTTCTTAAGTGGCCAATGTAGGTGTTAGCAATATGATTGATATGTGTAGGTGTAGATTAGGTTTTGAAAAATCCTCTTTAACTGCTTGGATTATCTTTTTTCCTTCAGCCTCTGTTACTTGTTTTTCCAAGGCTTTCCTTTTCCACTGTTTTTTCTTACAAGTTTGATGTTCCCTGTTGTCCATTTATACGAGTGAACGAAACAAACACCTTAATTTAGTGTAGGTAGCTTGTGGGTTTCCTCTTCAATTGTTTAGACTTGTTTTTCCAAGAAGCTTCTTCTC